GCGGGAGGATAAGGCGGAGGCGGGTATACATCACTCGGCGGCGGCGCGTGGGGATGACCCGAACCGGCGGGAGGAGGGCAAACGTTAACTCCAGGATCCGCCGTTACAAACCGATACGAGAAGTTCAACTTACCTTTTGTTCCCCCGACAACTCTAACCGGATAACTCACGGACATCATCCCGGCTCCGTCGCCGTTAATCAACAGTGACGGCATGTTCTGAAGCAGGAGTGTCAAAACCGGGACGTCGACTTGGCCGATATCCCGATCGCCGCCAAGCGGACGATGGCTAACCGGCTTGACGGAGAGTGTCAAACGGCCGTCGAGGGCCAAACGGTCGTTAACGGAGAATTTGAAGTGGTGGTTCCACGTGGGATTCGAGCCGGAAGAGTAGGCAATCGGGGTGGATTTGAACAGTGGTCTCCTTCGATTTGGTTCGCCGTCTATCCAAGCTAAGGCGTAGACGTCCATTTCGGACATTATGTTCACATTTCTTATGTCCGTTGCCGACATGATCTTGAGCTCTAGGGTTAGGTTTTCTCTTGCTTTGCTCGAAGACATTTCGCCTTTGCAAATGCGACATACACGTTGCGTTACATTATCTATTTATTATGCAAATAATATTTTATAATATTGTTCAAGTTTAACGTTTCACAAGAAATGGAATAATATGTAACTTGAAAAATTCATACCTTGGAAAACGTCAGCAAAGGAGCGAGGCGGTCCAACAATGTCTAATAAATGTCATATTTGTTTAAAATATTTTATTGTGACATTAGAATTAATAAACTTTCACTAATCCCTCCCACGACCACTTCGAATTATTTTGCCATGTCATATATGCATGTAAGTAAATTAAATACCACGGAGGATAACCAGTCAAACATTTTTAAAATATATAAAATATAATTAAACTTATGAAAAGTGGGTTTCCACTTACAAAAAAAATACCATATAATTTTCATGGTTAATTAATGTAATAATCATTATGATGGGCATCATCTTTTTGTCTTACTCTACACTTAATGTTTCTGGCCATAATATCACTACATTAATTAAGATCAAAATTCACCTCATGTTGTTATATATAGTGTTTAATATTGTAATGTACTATTTGAAAGTAAGATTAAGAAATAATTTTCCAACCAAATGGTAGACATTGACATGCGAACAATGGAACACTCTATCGACGAACAACGAACATGTAACAAAGGATAAATTAAAAAAAAAAACTTCAACTATTTTATTTACTAAGAAAATATTTCACTATTATTTGATATTTTTTCAAAGGACTAATTTTCGATGGTTCAATTCGGTATGTTGGCATGAGAATAGTTTTCCTTTATCCTATTTTTATTTTTATTTTTCTCTTTAGAAAATATTATTAAAGACTTCTTTTTTTGTCAAAATTATTAAAGACTTCTTAATGCTCATGATAATAAATTATAATATTTACAGATAAAAAAAATAAACGTACAGTATCTTTTTTAATTAATATAAATATTTACAATATCGTAATAAAATCAAATCTAAATATTATGTTATATTATCATAATAAATTTTTTTAAAATATTCTTATATCTCGTATATATTCCACACATTCTTTAGTTAATTGATTCATACATATTTTGTTTCCTAATAATATAAGTAACGTGACTTTTTCATAACTGTGTCAAGCTTTTAGAATTAGAAATTTTTCCTTATTTTTGTCTATGCAGTGGTTTGAGTATTAGAATTGATTTTGATTTTTTTTTTGTTGAGAAAAAAAATGGGGAAAACCCTAATAATAAGTATTATGATATTACTAAATGTGATGACCAAGACAAAAAGGAAATTTATGTCCGAGACCACATAGACGGCCATACAGGCTCTGTTATAAGTGGGACGTAACACGGTAACTAATTTGTAAAACCCTAATTCTTTTATTTTTTTTAGGGAAAATTCCAAAAAAATATCCAAACTTTTAATTTTTCCATAAAAAAAAATATAAACTATGTTGTTTTTCAAATAAAACTTCAACTCATTTTTTATTTTGGAAAAAATCTGAATTTTATAAAATTTATCATTTTTACTACTGAATGATGACATGGACGATAACGATAATGTGTACGAGTCGATCAAATCACAAATGTATGATATCGAGATGACACATTATCGGTTGGATTTAAACAAAATTAATATTCATAAAATTCAGTTTTTATTTGGCAAAAAATAGAGTTCAATTATTTTATTTTTTTTGAAAAATTGAAAAATTTGGATTTTTTTTTTTTTTGAAATTTTCTCTTTATGTTTATCCAAAAAACAAATTATTGCTTTATTTATGACCTTTTCAATAATTAAACAAACCGCCAATCAACATATTATTACATTATTATTGGTAGTTCCATTTCATTTTCTTCAAAACCAAGACAAAAAGGGGAAGACAAAAAAAGACTCAAAACTACACCTTACGCTAAGATCAGAGATCGATGCAAAGATAAGAGATGATGTTGCCGGCTCGGCGCGTGGTCCGATCGGTGACCTTCCATTTCTCGATCAATACCTTTCTGATGTTGGGACAGCCCGAGACGACGGTGGCGACACCCGAGGAAGTGATGCGGGGGCAGTAGACCATGTGACATGTCTCCAGCGCTTTGCAGTTTCCGACCAGATGGTTCAGGCCGGTGTCTGTTATTTTATGGCAGTGAGATAGAACTATTTCTTTGAGATTTGGACACCCTTCTCCTACCTCTTCCATTGCCATGTCCCCCATGTTCTGCTTCCATCATCAACATGAACATAAAACAGATATATATACACATATGCACAAAAGGATTTTTTTCTATGGAGAATGCAAAAGGGTTCACTATATAATCATGTAATAGTGTCATTAAACCACCAAAACGACTATATGGATGTGTACATTATCAACCAGAAATACACATGAATGGATTTGATATGGAGAATGCAAAGAGGTTATGTGCCAGAACCATGCATTCATTCAAAAGGGTTCACTATATAACCATCATATACTAGTGTCATTATACCATCAAAACCGACTAAAAGAAGACTATTATACCATGTTAGACCGAACTCTACGGATGGAGGTATACATTATCAACCAGAAAATATCACCAAAAGCTATGAAAATGTGGGGTAGGCTTACTACCTGAAGCACACTGACATCGAGGTGAGTGAGTTTAGGGCAACCTCTTGCTATAGCTATTATTCCGGCATCGCCAATCTGATGGCAGCCACTGACATTCAGTCGTTGTAATGAACAGCCCTCACCAACAGCAATCAGTGCCTCATCTCCAACCCTAATAGTCAACCATCAAAAGGGAAATAGATAGGCAATACAGTGAGATTCATGTAAGTACAATACTGGAACAGATCTACAAAACAGAGATCTCAGAACACGACTAAGACAGAGATTAGATGAGGGAATACACTACCTATCGCAAAACTGAAGACTAAGCTCTGCTAGTGATTTGCAATGCTGACCTACTGCTACAATTCCTTTGTCACCGACCTGGAACATGCGAGTAATAGTTCTTTATCAACCTGTTAGGAAGATAAAACTAGGAAAAATTAAATAAGTTGCGTCGGAAAGTGAAAATGCCTCATAACATCTCCGGATATGGAGTTTCTTGAGGTTTGGACAGCCTTCAGCAATCCTGCAAATCGCATCATCTCCAATACTTGAGCAATCTACTAAGTGAAGCACTTGTAGGGATTTGCAGCCACGTCCAATTTCATGGAGAGCAGAATTGCTGATTCTTTGGCAGTATAGTAAGGCCAACTCAGAAAGGTGTCTGCATTCAGCCCATAAAAAAAGAAAAAGCCACAAAATCAGGAGCAACATAATACTGAGAATATGGGGCTGGATAATCAATTCTCCAACAAACCGGGTACTTGTGAACGAGAGATGACAACAGAATTGAACTCTTTTCTTTCGATTTGAAACATAAATCAGTAAATAAATGAAAATAAAGCAAGTGAAGGAAAGAAAACATACGGGCAAGATCTTCCAATTGCCTCCAGTCCAAGAGTTCCAATATTGTGGCATCCATTGATTTCTAGACGAGTAAGTTCCTTGCAACCATGGGCAACAGCTTCCAAGCCTTTGCAGCTTACAAAGTAGCAGTCACTCAGTGTGAGATCTTTTAAACTCTTACACCCTTTACCCACAGCACGCATGCCCCTGATTTACGAAATAAATCAAGTCAAATATCATCCTGTACCATAGCTCATGAAGATAGGAGGAAAAGAAACAAGGAATCAAAAGAAACCAAATCCCAATACTAACTTGTCATTCCTCAAATTATTAAATCTTAACAACGTAGAAAACAGCACTTAGCATGTCTTCATTTTACGTTCTGTAAACACATAATCCATGCTAGAGTGCAATGACAATCTAAGCCTTAAGGTCCTTGATACTCCAACTTCTTCAAATATATAAAATTAGGTTTTAGGATGATCAGATTGTACCACCCAAAGGAACCGAATAACTTACTTGTCAGTAAATTGCTGAAAACTGTACAAAGCCAACACCTCCAGTGAAGAACACAAGGTGCCCACAGCTATAAGTGCCGCATCCGTCACATTAACACATTGAAGCTTCAAAGTTTTCAAGAGGGTGCACCCTTGAGCCACTGCCAGCAACCCTCTGTCATGGATGTATTCAGAATCCAACGACAATGTTTCGAGAAATTTACAGTGATTTCCAACTGCTTCCATGGACAAATCTGTTATTTTTGCCGAGGCTGCAACACCAAGAGACTTCAATGATCTACCACATCCAGCAGCAACATCAATCAATCCAGCATCGGTCAGGCCTTCACAGAAACGCAGGTTTAGTTCCTCAAGCTGCTTACAAATCTTTCCAACAGCTGCCAAGCCTTGATCTCCAATGTAACAACCCTGAAGATCATATCCTAACCATATGAGATAATAGTTTTTACCTTTTCGACAAAAAAAAACATATTATTGAAACATATTCCTGAAAGAAAATGGAAATGAAAATATGGTTCTGGTATCTGGAAGCAGAAGAAGTACCTGTAAATCCAAAGACTTAAGAGAAATACACTTCTCGGCAAGTGAAATCAAACCCTGACTTGAAATATTAGAGCACCATATCAAGCTTAGGCTTTCGAGTTGCGGAAATCCAGAGGCAAGAGCAGTTAAACCAGCATCGGACAAGCTGCTAGGCTCAAGACGTTCCTCCTCTGAGCGTCTCTTGTCAGCTGAACCACGAGGCTTACGCGATGAAACTGATGAGCTTTCTCTCTCGCGTCTTCTTCTCTGCATGCACATCCAGTTTCTCTAAGATAAAATAAAAAACCAAATACTCTATGAAAAATCCTGAATTTCCGAATAAAGGAATGTTTCTATATTGATAGTACCAACTAGAAATTTTTGTGTGACAAGATAGATCCACCTAGCAAGTGTTTCTTCCATTCTGTTCCTAAATAAATTCCAGACATCAACCAGACTACATTTCAAATCTTGAATCGATAGAGCCATTATATAGTGGAAAAGATCAAGCAACGATATGCACCAACTAATACTCAAAGCAGTACCACTTCAGTCCCAATATAGTAACAATGCACCCAGTTCGATCTCCATGAAGAATAACACCAACCCAAACTAATACTGGTGAAAACAAGGAAAACCGAAAACCAATCCAAAATATCCAATCTTTAACCGAGTGACAAAAAGATCCATTGAATTGATCAACATTCATCAACTAATACTAACAAGCAGAAAGCCAATTGGATTGGAGCCGCAAAGAATGCAGCGCCAATTTAATCCCAATCCAAAAGTAAGAGACCCAGAAAGGCAGAAACCAATCCAAAATCAGTAAACGAAAGGCGACCAATTCAATCAAGATCATCCACTACCAGAGTTCCCAGATCAATCGAGCAACAATAACCCATAACACCGTATCAACCGAAATGCCCAATTCAATTCCAAGATCAGAAACAATGCAGATAATCTGAACAGAGAACCTACGGACGGGGGAGAAGGCGAAGGGAGGAAGACGGGGAGACGCTCGTCGATGTGGACGGAGGTGATATGGAGGAAGCGACGAGCGAGGAGAGAAATGAAGACGTCGGGAGAAGAAGAGGCGCCGATTCGGAGAGTGGTGCGGCTGAGTCGCTCGAGAGAGAGCCACCGCCTGCAGACGAGCGAGCACGCGTCGCGTGTCGGCTTCGAATCGAACCGCCGGAAAATCTCAAGGATCAGCTCGTCCGGTAGAGTACTGTTGATCCAATCATGGCCTCGCATCTCTGAATCCACTGAGAGAGAGAGAAATTCTTTCCGGAGAGAAATTCTCTTTCGAAATAGAAATATTTCGTATGAAATGGCGATAGGTGGAAGCAGAAGAGTATTTATACATTTTTTTTAAAATATTTTTTAAATACAGAGGTTATAAATAAATCACATATGCAATAATCATACGCATTATTCAAGAACGCCTGGCCCAATTCTTGGACATTGACCTACGAGATTTCAATTTTCATTGCAACAAATTCAAAGTATATAATCGAACCACTCATCAAAAGGTCGAGAGAGATACATACAATACGTAAAGATTTTTGCCCCCATTGAGGCATTATCAAACATTAAAGCTGCAATCCAAGAAAACATTCACACGCAGAGAGAAATTGAAAGGATAATATTTGTTGTATTCACAACTGAAAAAACAAACAGAGGCTGTGTTTCTTCAATTGTCGGCCTGTCTCAGCACCCGTAGAATGGCGAGGAAGAGGTTGAGGATGTCCAGATAGAGAGCGGCCGAGGCCAGAATGTACTCGTCGTAAGTGAATCGCTTGATGAGGTTGTCGGTATCATAGACTATGTATCCGCAGAAGATCAGAGCGCTGATTCCGCCGTATATGGCCACGGAAGTCGGGCCGAGTGGGAAGAACATCTGTCGAAATGGTAAGAACAAGATCGGGATTTCGAGTCAGCGTATGTGTTGTAGGACAAAACGAGGTTGTTTTAACGATGAGGAGAGGGATTTTTAAGACAGACCTGGATGAACCCGGTAACGACGAGAATGATGAGGCTGGTGAACAAAATGGGTCCAAGAAAGCTGAAATCTTTCCCCTTCTTAGCCGCCCAAAACGTGTACGCGGTTAGAGAGGAAACCACCGCCAGTGTCAGAATCAATGCTTCAAGCACAATTCTTCCTGATGAATATAAGATTAAGAAAAGAAGATTTGTCAGGTTATATAACTTCAAAAATATGGGCTTTCTCAGTGTAAAAATGAATAGATTTTTCAACAACATAGTCTTTTGAGTTCAAAAAACTTTGACATGAATGTCTCTATCTAACCTGGAAGAGGCAGAAATCAAAATAACAAGAGACTAACCGTCTGTGTTAGCGCAGCTTACTCCGACGGTGAAACTCAGCGAAACAGTGAAGAGACCGAGGAGGATAAGGTTGACAGGATGTTTCTGGTGGTAGATGTGCAATGGCCATATTACTGCAAAGATTTGCTCAAAGTGGTTCAAAATGACATGAAGAAACACAAATTCTTACCAACATCTTCCGGAAAGTTAAAATACGATAACAGAGTAAGAGAATCCGCGCTAATGCAAACATTGAAATGTGGTGGGCTTTCAACACATACACAGAATGAAAGGCCACAATAATACATCAAATATAAGGTGAAGACATCGGGGGAGAAAAGGCGTTGAAGCAATCAACAGGGTGAATTCATACAGATATATTGCAAATCAGTAGAATATTATCCCTTATGGGTTTCCAACAAACGCACACGAGCGATAAAATCATAGAGAAAAAGCCTAAGAAACTAGATATCTTAAGAGGTATACGCATTCGATCGAGAGGAGAATGAGACCATAGGGAGATCGTGACAATCGGATAAATGCAGCAAATTGTATGGAATCGAATTTCAAGGTGATATAGAAAATGAGCAGGCAGAAAAACAAAAGGCCATGAAGGAAAAAATTACAAGCACGCAAATAAAAAAAAAACAGAAAGAATCAAAAATATGCATCAGAGACAGAGATTAAGAATTCATTGAATTATCTACAAAGCATCACATGATCCCTTAAGATTATTAGCCCTTCACAAGGAGAATCACAAATGAACAGATCCTGCAAATCAACTGAATTATCAACACAGCATAACATGATCCCTTAAGATTAGCCGTTCCCAAGGAGCGTCATAAATTAACAGATCCTGCAAATCATTCACATCAACCCTAAATTCAGAATCAATCAATGGTCATTAGATCTGTTACTCCTAAACACAACAATCAAAACACACAAACCCATATCCTACCAAATCGAGCACGCAAATCCGAGAGCCACAGATCAAACCCCCATCAGAGAATTAAAACATAAATCACGTACGGACAAAGGGGACGATGCAGAGGAAGAGGAGGAGGCCAGGTGAGCCGGTGAGGAGCTCGGTAACGGGAGGATTGAGGACGACGACGGCGGAGATGACGGTGGTGAGGAGGAGCTGAGCGGAGAGAATACCGTAGACCTTGCGGATGAAGCCCCATCGGAGCTGATTCTCGCCGAAGCTGAGGCCAGGGTAAAGCGTCGCCTCTCCGCCGCCCATCTCTAGGTCGACATCCTTCCCCACCGAGAACGAGCTGCCGGCGTTCACGCTCGCGTATCCGTACGGTTTCTCCATGGCCCTGCAGATTCGATCGAGTTTGGATTTTCTTTTTTACGCGTGTGTTTGGGGGGAGAAAAGAGATTGGAGGTAGATTTTGTAGAAAGGAAAGATCTTTACTAATTAACAAATTTCAGAAAGGTCCCCGAATATAACTATACTTACAAATAATGCCTAAACTTTTGTCGGGGTTCAAATTTGTAGAAATGAAAGATCTTTTACTAATTGAAAATTTCAGAAAGGTCCTCAAAGTTAACTAAACTGACAAATAATGCCTAAACTTTTGTTCATATCAAACATCGATATATAAAAAACCCTTGAACATGAAAATTGATGAATTCGTACAATTCGTGGGATTCATGTTCAGATTTCTAACATCACTAACAATTAAATTGAACTTCACGAAAATATTTCTGATGACAAGAACCGAACCCATGTGTTGAGAAATAGTGTATTACAATTCCACAAATGCTAATACAAAAGCATGGAATACAATCATAAATAAGAAGGTTTTTCACTTGCGGGTTGCATTTTTGATAATCCCTGAAGTGACAGAAGAAGAAGGATAGAGAGCCTTTCGGATCTTGACCACGTTCCAGGCCGTACCCGCTGCATGTCCCGCCGTTGCTAGCACCTCTCCCGTCGCCTCTCCCGCACTCTCCCCAAACCTGGACCGCTCTCCGAAACATTAGACCCCGTTAAAATTCGAGAACTACCCGTTTGCAAAAACGGTACGAGAATTAACTCTTTTAACTCGAATGTGTAACCATCACTCCCATAAACATATTTGAAAAAATCTACTTGAGAATTATCTCAAAATGAATATGCATACATCATTCCCTGAGACATTATACCACGTTAAAATTCGAGAACAGCATGTTCTCCGAAAATTAGCTCGTTAACTCGAAAGAATAATACGAGAATTAACCGGTTAACTCGAAAGAATGTGTAAACATCGCCAAAGTTATTACCTTTGGCTGACCATTCTAGTAGCAGCCTTGGATGTGGCAGAGAAAGCTTGTTTTTCTGCTGCTTCAGCTGCATCTAGTATCTTGTCTACAAAAAATGAACATCAAAGAGACAACACTTGTGAATTATACCCTGAACTTTTGTTTTGTTCAAAATCAACCCCAAGATTTCAAAGATTTCTACTGGATGGATTTGAGATAGATTAACTCACTGATAGCATCTAGTGAAGCCAAGAGGACCTCCCCAGGAACCATGGAGAAGAATGCCTTCCCGGGCTTCGACTTCATCACAGGCGCCATCACCGAGCCGCTGACTATACCTACACCGTTCAACATCGACTTGCTCAGCTTCTCCGTCGCCTTTGAGAGTTTCCTCACTCTGTATATATGTGTGTATATATATACACACACATTTCAAAAGAAAGATCATCATTCATGGATCTTTAGATTATAGAATTGAATCCTTTTTTTCCCCTAACGAGACGTTACACAGATCCATAAGAGGGTACCGAGCTAGATTCCTGTTGATTCCACTCTTCCTTCTGCTGTCACTTCCACTGCTGTACCCTCCATTTCTCTGATACCCACCATTCTTCTTCTCCTCAGCACTAGTAATCATGGTTTCACCTCCCTTTTGAACCTGTTTTCATTACAGAACACGAGATTTTATAAAAAGAAACCACTGCCATGCACCAATATTACAAGTAATGATCAAAAACCTGGTTGGTATAAGCATTGCTGCATCTGAATATGCCTCTGATGATGTGACCTGTTCCTCCAGCGATTGCCTTGGCCAAAACGTTGTTATAATCTTCGATCTTGGGAGCAAACTCCTTCCAGTCAATCCCACTGTCCATCTTCTTACCAAACGAAGCAGAGAAACACGAATTCTCCTTGAGAAAATCGTCAAGAAGCTCCAAGCTGTTCACGACCTCGACGTCGTTTTCGTGACCGGAAAACGTGACCCCGTAGCTGAGTGGGTCGCCGTCTTTCACCGGCAAAGTGAAGAGGTAGTCACGGGAATCGAGCTTCACCACCGGTTCGTCTTTAGTGACCGGCCATTGGAGATCTCGTCCGACTCTGATGATCATGGCGAGAGAGACTCCGTTGTCGGAAACCTGAACGAGGTTGAAGTCTCCGGCGGCGAGTTGCAGAGCTTCGGGTCCGTCGATGAGGTGAACCCTACATCCGGGAATCTGCAAAAGGACATCTTCTCTGACGGACATAGCTGACGGGATTTGTCGGGTCGACGGCAAAATCGTGCCTTGATCCTCGTCGGAAGGTGGTGGTGTTGATGGGCTCTTCGATTCGGAACACCCCATGGCTTTTTTTTCTTGGTTCTTGTTCTTGATAGTTTATGTCAAGACTGGAAACAGTAGAAGAGTTGGAGACTTTTTGTCGCCTTTGTCGGATTCTTTTCCAGTCACTTTGGCAGTGTGGCTTTTTCGAGTGAATAAATTCTCGTTTCTCACTTTCGGTGGCAATCGAGGCACAATATTTTATTACATTGTATCTGCATATATAACACACACAAACTAATTACTCTTTTTATTTTTAAATTAAGATTATACAAGGAATCTACGTATGTGCCTTGTCAGGGAAGAAAGGAATGTAATAATGAACTATACAAGGAATCTGCTGTGTCATTGTATTCTTCTTTCAAATGATCCCTGCAAAGAAGAAATACATAATCTCTAATCGAAAGTCCAAGGTTCTAAGGTGTAAATATAGATCCCATCTGAGTCAAACGTCCCATGAGAAGTCTATCAAATGAATACAAACATATATATGTATATATGTATATGTATCATACATTATAAGAATTGAGAATTCCTGGGGAATTCGATTTCAACAATGGGTTTTAGATCCAGTAATGTGTTCCTGAAAGAATCTGGGGTCTGTTCTTCTCTAACTTGGGTTTCTCATCAGATACGCCACTAAGCATCCTAAGATTCCACCTGCAGCAACCTGTAGCAATGCCTAATGTCAGCAAGCATACCCCTTTAAATCCAAACCTGTAACTCTTGACTTCCATGGAATTGGACAACCATTTTCCAGACAAAAAGACTTGATCTTTATGTGTGGGGAATTCCGTTTCTTTGGTTTCAAAAGATCAAGGGGTTCAATAGCAAGATGGGTAGAATAGGATTTAACCATTGTGGTCCAAGTTACACATGAACCTTAAATTGATAACTTAGTTCTCACACTAACTTGTCTACGAGTTTCCCTACCAATTTTCGAGTTAGGTCCAAAAAGAATGTCTTTCTGATGTTAAATTCATGCCAACCTTAACAAGCAAGGTTGCACCAAATAATGGCCAAGTGAATGTAGCAATAGTTTTAACAGTAAACTCAGTATGAAACTTGCTCGATGTATCATTTTCTTTCATCTGATTCTGATATTTCTATGACAGGTTCATCAAGGACAGGAATCTTGAAGTACAGACTAGGACTCTAAAAACTAGATATGAATTGACAGATAATGCGAAAACCGTAGCAATATTAAAGATAAAATGTACCACAGAGCGCAACAAACCTGGATGGGAGTGTGGCCAAGCAGCTCACGCAAGGGTCTAACACTTGACAACGGATGTTCCGGAGGAAACTCGCATACGATTTGGTTCAGCAACTAAAACCATCATGCAAATATAAGGTTTCTGTTAAAAAGAGAATGGAAAAATTCGTACAAGAGAATTCTGAAGGCAGAAAGGTAATACGTTGTTTATGGCTTACCTCAGCTTGACGACCAGCATGAAGCCTGACCCCCGAGGCATCATACATTACCTGTTACCCGTTTAGAGAAAAAAGGAATAGCAAGTAGGCTTGATTTCAGCAGACTTCGAATGACATAAACGAGGCTGAAAAAAAAACAATCCTAGAAGAAACCTATTATACGGCAACATTCACTCGAAAAACAATCTCTTCTCTATACTAAATGAATCTGACCCATGTGCTGTGCAAGTATTTAGATGAGCTAAAGGGGTCAAAAGCTTCAAAAGCAATAGCTGGGAAGAATTTTGTGCTAATGGACATCAAATAGAAAGAATCCAGACAGAGCCAAGTCTCTCAAGAACATGAATTTCGTGCTAATGAACATCGAATAGAAAGAATCCAGACAGAGCTAAGTCTTTCAAGAACATGAATTTCGTGCTAATGAACTTCAAATGCAAAGAATCCAGACAGAGCCAAGTCTTTCAAGAACATGAATTTGTGTTACTAATGAACTTCAAATGCAAAGACTCCAGAACAGAGCCAAGTCTTTCAAGAACATGAATTTCGTGCTAATGAACTTCAAACGGAAAGAATCCAGACAGAGCCAAGTGCTTCAAGAACATGACAGGAGGACTGAATGCAAGATATAATCGAACAAGAACGAGTAGACAAGAACGCATACCACACAGGCTAAGACGACCGCAATTGCAAATGCCGGTCCTCCTGCTCCCTCTTCGAGACCTATAGCAACGGCTAAGGCGGTGACTGTAGCAGAGTGCGACGACGGCATTCCACCAGAACTTATCATCTTTTTGGAGTCCCATCTCTTTTCTTTAAACCTGAGGATACAGCATTCTCACGTTAAACCACTGAGAAATTACTTCTGAAACACACATTTCAATCTGTAAAAGTTAGTTCTTTTTTTTCGTATTTCTGAACTCCATGAGAAACTATGTATCTCAAGTTCAACAGATCTGTTTGCAGAAACATCAATATAACCATGTTATGAAACAGTATCATAGCCAAAAGGGACAGAAAATCTATGAACTTATCCATCAAATGTCTCTCGTCAACCAAAACATGAAGCCGGTGGAAAGAAAGAGTTGTCAAAATTCTCATCAATTCAACAAAAACGAGAGCCAGACGAGGGTAAATCTTCTAAATTGGAGCGTAACGTCATCAGATTCCACCGCAAATTCTCGGAAATTTTTCGAAATTGAAAAATCCCCTTTTTGGAGTCCGCTTCAAACCCGCATGAGCGGAGCCAACGAAGAGGGGGTTGCAGATTGAATCGTGGCAAATCAGACGAATTTCGAAGGACGAGGTTAAGATTGTACGGACCAGGAGGTGAAGACCTTGAGGAACTGAGCCAGGGCGAAGGCAAGAAAGGCGGAGAGGAGAGGGAGATTGTAAGGAAGCAGATTGTACGCCGCCTTGTCTCCGCCCCTCGCATCCGCCGTCGTCATCACCTCATCCATCCTCCGTCGCCGCTCTCTCGACCTAAAAGTTCCTGGCTTTCGCTTCGGACAATCACAAAACTGTCGGGATCAATGTCGGCGACGGATCCAGTAGAAAATGAACATAGACAAATCGAGACCGGTATTGACTCGCGAGTTGGCTCAGCGTCAGAGGAAAGAGAGCTTCGATTGCTTCGTTCCCGTGATCTGGAAGGAAACAATGTCGTGAATTGGTAAAGGGTAAAAAAAATCACCTTTTAAAACTTAAAATTATTATTTTTTAATGAAATTCATTGTGTTGGTTAATGTAATTCATTTTTTTTAATAAAGAAAAACAACGAAATTTCATGTGTAGGG